GGAAAGGTCTACAGGGTGCTCAGGGTCTCACTACTAGACCGGACTCGTAGTGATCCACCTGTTTACAGCCTCCCAAGAGCTGGGATTACAGGCACAAGCCACCATGCCCAGTATCAACTGCCATCTCAGCACACCCTGAGGTGGGGCCGGCACAACAGGCTCGGGAACGAACCCGGCCCCTGTGCCTGTTTGCAGGGGCTTTAACCTGCTGAGCTATTTGGCCAGCCCTCCTTTTTTATTTTCAGACAAAAGCTGGCTCCACTGCCCAGGGGACTCAAATTTCCAATCCTCCCACCTCAGCTTCCCAAGTGCTGGGATGACAGGCATGTGCCACCACACCTGGCTCCAATGACAGCATTTAAGAATATTTTACTGCGGGCAGGAAATCAGACAGCTACAGAAGGAGACAGCAAGAACGCGCACCCTGCACACCAGCAGGAGGGCGGCACGCGCTCACCCTGCTGCATCTGGAGATGTGAAGCCATAAAGGTCAACAAAGAAAGACACAGCTGGAATCCCAGCACCCAGGAGGCTGAGGCAGGAAGATCACCTCAAGTGGGAGACCAGCCTGAGATACACAGCAAGATCCTCAAAAGCAAAACAACAAAAAATAATAAAATAGGGCCGGCCAGATAGCTCAGTCAACTAAAAGTGCCTGCTTAGGCAGGTGCAGGGATCGGGGTTTGATCCCAATGTGCTGTGCCGTGCTGGCCCCACCTGCAGGGCACAATGAGACTGGCATGTGCCTGTAATCCCAGGGATTGGGAGGCTGAAAACAGGAGGATCACTATGAGTCTGATCCGTGTAGTGGGACCCTGTAGACCCTGTACTACATACATTATATATATATATATATATATATATATATATATATATGGTACAGTATGACTGAGAGAGGAATGACTGGGGGGAAAATAAAATGAAAACTCAGGCGAGAGCAGGCAAGCATCTGGAATTTTAAATCTATCCAGATTCCTCAGAGGAAAGCACAGGAACATACCGCCTGTGAAAGGGCAAGGTGGGTGGGGTGTCTAGAACCTGGCTGTGGCCAAAGCCAGGTCACCCTGCCTTGATGGGGTATGTGGTACAGGGGCTTCTGGGACACTGTCACGTACAACCCCTTATCTGAGACCTCAAATACTCCTGCTGGGACCAGCTTCCTGCTGCCTTCACTGAGGCTGACCTTCCTCCATGCACTTGGGAGGCTGACGCAGGAGGACGCCAGCAGTTTGAGACCAGTCTGGACTCCGCGACAAGATCCAGTCCTCACAGGAGCTCAGCGGATGCCCGGGAGTCTGCCCCGGGTAGCATCTGACTGCGCAAACAGGAACCTTACACCGGGCCTCTCCCCGCCCTCCCCACTAGCTGCTGCTTGCCTTCAGCTTCCCGGATGTAACACTTCACTGATTTTATCCCCTGGCCCTAAAGCTGAGAAACCTCACGGCTTCCAGCCCGAAGCAAGCAAGGCAGCTCTGCGGGCTCTGTCATCGGATGACATCAGAGTGGCCAGAGGTCATAGCTCTGGGCATAAACTCCACGCAAACAAAAATGTGCACCTCCCTGGGGACTGGCCGCCTGGGCGTGACACCCCCACCGCCACAAGACAGGCCAAGCCACCACACCATTCTGTGGCCTCTGCACAGCAGACAAGACACAGTGCCCTCCCAAGGGGCACAGTGGGATTAATGACAGCAGCTACCCCAGCCCACACTCTGGAAGGCTGAGACAGGGGAAGGCAAGTTCAGGACCAGCCAGGGCAAGGCAACTTACTGAGACCCTGTCTCAAAACCTTAAAAAATTTTAAAAAGCAGTAGGGATGTAGCTCAATGAAAAAAACAAAACAAAACAAAACAAAACCTCTGGGTTCAATCCCCAGTGTTGAAAAAGAAAAAGTCCAGGCGCACGGCACCCACCCATAATCCACACTGCGGGAGGGGGCAGGGGGTGCTGAGGCAGAGGGAGTCACCACAAATCGAGAGCAGCCTAAGCTACAGAGCAGGACCTCAACTCCGAAAATAAAAACAACAAAATGTTAGTGCTTTAATTGCCACATTATGTGATCCTTCACAGTGTTTATTTTTATTTTTAGAGTCAGAGCTGGCCTTGAATCTGTGATCTTCCTGCCTCGGCCTCCCAGGTATCTGGGATCACTGTAGGCCTGGGCCTGCCTGCCCCGCTCTGGGCTCCCTTTAAAATGACGGTAACCATCCTAGAGGAAAGGAGAGCTGCCCTCGTGGCTTTGTATTAAAAAACCACACATTCACATCTGCTTACAGCTCTTTGCAGTTCCGAAGACTGGCCATTCCTAAAATGCCGCTTTAATTTAATTAGAGAAGCTTCCCAGTGCCACGCTTGTGGGCCCTCCCAACAAAACATCTGACTCAGGCCTGGCTTTGTAATTCCTCTTAAAATAAAAGGGTGCTATAAATTACCAGATATTATTTAATGTAGATCAAGACCACTGATAATTTCCTCCACAAATTACTATCATTTTTGCTTTTAAAAAAGGAACAGAACACAAAAGGCACAACTATTTTTTTAAAAAGGCGTGCAATTAGCGGAGTATAAATAAGATAAACAATTTGGTACCAGGCTGGCTGAGCAATCCGAGGAGGCCCCAGGCCTGTGCAGCCCGAGAGCCACGCCGAGGCAATGGGGGCCTCGTGCCACGGGCTGCCCGCTGCAGCCTCTGCTTCCCCAAACTCTGCCCTGCAAGGAATGCGCTAGGCACTGCCCAGGCTATGTCACCTGCTATACCTGGCACAGGGTGGCACAAATACCCAGCCCTTGGGGAGCTTCAAATTGGAGAGAAACAAGCAAGCTGGTAAATACATGAAAAGGCTGGTGAGCCGGGCACAGGGGTACGCCTGTCGTGCCAGCACCTGGGAGGCTGAGGCAAGAGGATCTTGGAGTCTGAGGACAGCCTCAGCTGCACAGTTAGACCCTGTCTTAAAACAAACACTGGCTGCTGGGAGCTGTCGATGGGGAGAGCGTGTGCCGAGTATGCACAGGGCCCTGGGTTCCATCGTAGCAACCTCTCCCCAGGGGAGGAAAACGCTAGCAGCTGATAAGCACTAGGGGAAAAGGCAGGCACGGGAGGTGTGAGAATGGAGCGACAAAGGGGAGGCAGACAGAGGGACTTTGGGACGGAGGTGACATTCTGGACAGAGAGGTCAGAAGTAGCCCCTGAAGATAAATAGAAAGGACCACAAGGAGAGAAGCCCTGCGAAGGGCCTGGGGCCAAGGGAGGGACGGGGGAGGGCCTGGCTGTGGGCTTCCGGTCCAGGACTCACTCTGGACAGAGCTGGGGTCTCCTGAGCAGGCGCCAAAAGCCAAGCTCCTTGGGGGTGGGGGGACAGGGCAGGGAGAGATGCAGGGAGCAGCCACCAGGATGGCAGACAGGAAAAGGCCAGATGTCCTCGAAGGCCAGGGAAGGCCGGCAACCAGAGGCCAGTGCTGGGCTCGGGTTTATTCGATTCCCCTTATCATTTATCACTGCTAAATCTCTGAACCGCCCGGACTGAGCTGGAACTTGCAACCCTCTTGCCTCAGCCTCGCAGAATGCTGGGAACACTCCCGGGTGATATTTCACAGGGTCTGGGAGAGAACTAGAAGTCATTTTGTTATTATTAGAGACAGGGTTGGGCTGTGTAGTTCCGGCTGCCCTCACACTCACTATGTGGCCTGGGCTGCACTCAACTTTGCGGTGACTGTCCTGCCTCAGCCTCCCAAGTGCCGGGATGACCGCTGTGGACCACCCAGCCAGACGAGAACAGACTTTTTGTTCTCGGAGCAAGGCCTGTAACGGTCCGCCCGTGAACGCAACGGCACGGGCTCTTGAGAGCGAAACCAAAACCGAGTGCGTTACCGCTTTCCGCTCCTGCTTTAGCTCCTGCACATAGCGGGCCAGGTCCACCAGGATCTGCGCCGTCATGTTCTCCGAGATGACCTCGTGCTGCCCGGCGTAGTCACTGGTCTCGTGTAGGGTGGACAGGAAGGCTCGGCATGACGTGTACCTAGGGACAGAGTTCGGCTCCCTCACAACGAGGTCCCTGGCCCCCACGGGCCTGGCAGCTAACGGTAATTGCGGCCCGGCTTGTTCCCGCTGCCTCCCCGGGGCCGGCGAGTTCAGTACCCAGAGCCTGGTCCCCGCACAGTGGCTCAGAGCTCATTACACCGGGGCGCTTCTCACCCTAGCTAGCCCTGGCACTGTGTACAGCTATCACCCAAATACCTACGCGTGCTGCGTGCTGGCATCTCGGGCACTCGGCTCTGACCCCGAGCGAACCACTGTGTCCCCCCATCGCAGGCAACATACTTTCGGCCTGTCTGTGTTAAGTTGCGGAACTGCAGACCGGCGTACTCTTTGGCCAAGTGAGCAGTAGAGCGGAGACGCCTGATCCCACAGAAGCAGTGTCAGGAGCTGTGGCCCTACTTCCTGCACACGCTCAGGCTGAGCTGCACCTCAGCCTCATATTCTCATGGAAACAACTGGGAACAGGACCAGCAGCTCAGTCTTATCTTCTTTTTAATTTTGTTGCTGTTGTTGTTGTTGAATCAGGGTCTGGCTATGCAGCTCACACTCGTAGTAACCTCCTGCCCCAGTCTCCCGGGTGCTGGCGCAGGCGTGCTCCAGCAGGCCTGGCAGCCCGCTTCTACGGATCCGCATTCCTCCTATCCCCGCGGCGTGTGAGCCACCTGCAGGGATCCCACTGACCCACGTACCTGTATTCTTCCTCCTCCTTGGAGCTCTTCTTTGGTTGGTATTTCTTCGAAAGATTCCTAAAACAAGCATGCAGACACAGCACCTGATTTAGAAAGCTGATCGAGAGATCAGGAAGGACACTGGGCAGCGGTGCTTTGCTGACAAGCTTACGCGGGCGGCGGGGCGGGGACAGCTGGACTTCATCTCCCCCTCCTCCCATGTGCGCCTCAGGCTGCAGCTTGGGACCTTTGACCTCCTGGGCCCAGCAAATCAAACACAGAAACGGCGACCAGGGGGTCACTTCCCAGGTGGGGGCTGGGGCCTGCTCAAGGTTCTCGTCTGCGTCTGTCCATCTGCTCCCTTGTGGTCACTCTTAGCCGGCCATTCCTGCCCCAAATCCAAACCAGACTGCGCCCGCCCGGATGTTTAGGTGCCTAAGGCGCATTTCCTGAGCCAGGTGGCCACGTATGAGGCCAGATAACAGAAACTCCGCCTCACCAGGGCCCTGTATGGCCTCTCCAGGCCGAGGCGCCAAAGGCTTGTGTCTGTGTGGCTTCATTTTAGGGCTGAATTTCACTGTCGCAGGAAATAGTCTATTGCGTGTTCACTGAATTTCCTAGATTTTGTCTTCATTTTTAGTTACATGTGACTGCGACAATAAGGGAGATGCTCCTCTAACGTCACTAAAATCCCTTCCACCCTGACCTCACACACAGAAACTGTATTCCTGCCCCTTGTTTTTCTGTAGCAGTTCATACTGTCTACAGTCAGAGCACAACTGTTCTACTCTGGGGTTTTGCAAGGGGAACAATACAACGTAGGACACATACTTTATGACTGTTTATAATAGTCATCCAAAGAATCATACACAAAAAGAAAGTGCACGAAATCTGTCCACACACCAAAGACCAAAAAATCCAGCCGAGAGCCTGGATCCCACGGCAATGCCCCCGTGAGTCCAGCTGCAGGCCTAGGCCCGGGACAATGCCTCGCGCAGGCCTGTTTCACAGCTCTGCATGGGGCAGGCCTCAAGGGCAGTGGTGGAAGCTAGAGTCTGTGCCGGCGAGATGATGGGTCTGGCTGAGGGATCTGCACCGGAGCCAGAAGCAGTGCTCTAAGGACCGGAGCTCCTCGGAACAGTACTGCGGCCACCCTCAGCAGCGAGGTGCCGAGCTCCTCCTCTGGGAATAGCCAGCACGCCAAGGTTTTCCAGGAGAACCAGCAGCTCCCTATGGCTCCCAGCAGCCTCCGCTACTCCTAGCAGCAGCCCTCAGGCGGGACCCCCAGCCCCACCCCCAGCCCAGTGGGCGCAGAGCCAGCAGGCGCTCCACACTGACCACCAGTTGTCACCCAGCACAACAGCCCTGCTGGCACCTGGCAGTCACTACAGTTCTCCTAGCTATTCTCTCATGAAACAGTGTTCTGTGCATACACACAGGTGCTGGGGCTCAGCACAGCCCTCGCCCTCCTAAGTGCGGCATCCCTCAGCTCTACTTAAAGGCAGAGCAGGGCCAGCGCGTGCCCACCGATCGCTCACCTTTAAGCACATTCCCCAAAGGCCAGGATGGGTTCAACCCCTGGCACCAGGGGGGGAAAAAGAAAGCGAAGCCCACCTGTGGGTGAGCCCGCCGACCCGCCCATGACTCAAGCTGTGCGTGCTTCCTCTCCAAGGACTCGGCTCCCTTTTCTCTGATGGGCAGGAGGTCTAAGTACTGGGTTGGTGGGGGCAGCAGCCCCACCCTGCACGTTGGGACGCAAGGAAATGTGCGGCTGTCCTCCTCGGAGGGAACTCAGAAATGCTTTCAGCACCAGCTCTGCAGCGTTCCCAGGCTGGGCTGCTCTGTTTTTGACACAGAGTCTCCTGTATAGTCCAGGTTGGCCTCAAACTCACTGCGATCCTCCTGCCTCAGCCTCCTGAATGCTGGGATGACAGGATTTACCTAATCACTTGAAATGCTAAGGAATACAAAATTTGGGCATATAACTCAGCGGGCAGCGTGGGTTCCACCCCCAGCAGTGTGAAAAACCAAAACAAAACAGGGCAAAGAATACAAAAAGAGCAACGTTTCGTTCAAGATTATACCTTAGCTCCTAAAAGAAAACATGGGGCAAGAGCAGATATATTTTATGGAGAAAACACAAAGCCCTTTTTTGATTGGTTTCTCACAGTCACCCCTGAAAAGATACACACGGGAGTTGGGGTGGGGGCACATGCCTGCCACCGGAGTGCTCAGCGCTCAGGAGGATGAGGCAGGAGGGTTGCTGCGACCTTGAGCCCAAGCTGGGCTCCACAGTGAGTTTAAGGCCAGCCTAGCCTTGAAACCCTATCTCAAAAAGGAAAAAAAAAAAAAAAAAAAAACAGTCAATAGATTCTCTTGTGAATATATTTTAGAACAGATATGGGAGACTGGTGCATTGGAAAAGCCTAGAGAGATATTTTTAGTGGATGGTTTTCAGGATTAACCATCTCTCCTGTTAATTATAATTTACACACTGAAAATACCACTTCTAAATTCACACATCATATAAAAATTCTTTCGAGGGTCCTAGATGAAACCCACATGTTTCTTTTGGCTTCCAGGCCTTCCTCAGCAGCCGTGAAAATCAATGAATGCTGGGCGTCGTGTTGCACGACGGAAATCCCAGCCCTCAAGAGGCTGAGGCAGGAAGATGCCACAAACTGGAAGCCAGCATGGGCTCTGCGGTGGTTCAGGCCAGTGTTAAGGAGCGAGCTTTTCTCTTAAGAACAAAAAGAAAAGAATGGGAAAAACAATCAGAGATGTTACCTACGGGAGAGTGGGAGGGGAGTGGGAGGAGCCCAGCCCACCTGCCGGAAGGGCTGGCTGCATAGGCCTGGCGCAAAGTTCCCAGGCAGTGACATCCTACCCGGGGCAAGGGCCCGAGAGCAAGGACGGGTCCAGCCAGGCAATGCCCGCAGAGGCGGCCTACAGAGGTTTCTTAAAAGCACCATGAATAATTCAGCCCTTTGATGGTGCAGAGCCCGAGAGCTGGCGATGCCCACATGCACCACAGCCGAGACACCGAGGTCGGAGCCCCCCAGAGAAAAGACAGCTTCCATTTCCAAGCCCTCGGGTCAGGCCTCTCGTCCTACTTGTAGTAACTTCTTTTTTTCTTTTTTTTTCTTTTTTTGTATTGGGAATAGAACTCAGGAACTTATGCTAACAGGCTATTAATTCATTTTAAAGTCAAAACTAAAACATCTTTACCTTTAAAAATTTTTTTTTATTTTAGGAAGGGCCTACAGGGTGTTCAGGATCTCACTACTAGATCAGACTCATACTGATTCTCCCGTTTACAGCCTCCCAAGTGCTGGGAAGGCAGGTGAGCACCACCACACCCTGAACCAAGAAAATCATCAACAGGAGAAGACTGATAAGACAGCTCAGCAGTCTAAAGCGCCTGTTTAGGCAAGCTTAGGCAAGCACAGGGACCGTGGTTCAATCCCTGGCACCACACGGTGTGCCTGCCCTGCCCCCAGGGCGGGCTGAGCTGGCCACAAAAAAAAGAATTTGTTTTTGCTCCAAATGCCTTCAGGGCAGGTTTGGCTGGCTTGAGTTGTGGGGATCGAACCCCAGCAACCTGAGCCTGACTGCTTTTTTGAAGCAGCCACTTAAAGAACTGAGCTAAGGGGCACCCCCCCAAAAAAAAAGAAACAAACCCTCAGTCCAAAGGTTTCAGGAAAAGGTGACAGGGAAAGGGACAGAGGACTCCAGTGGCCGCAGGACTCAATTCAGACAGGAATGGGTGGAGTGGGGAGGAGGCCAGGCCCAGAACCGGTGCCCGGAAATGGGACAGCAGACACCATGGTACCCAAGCGGATTTGAAGTGGGGTCCCCACCCTCTGGCTCTCAGTGCAGTGCATACTGGGTGCACCCCAAACCTAGGGGCCCACAGGCACCCAACACCTCTTTACGGAAGGGACTCTACCTGAGACCGAAGCAGCAAGAGGGCCTTCAGCCGGGCTTCCCCCGCCACAGGCAGGCCAGCCTTGGGAAGGCTCGGAGACTAGGAGAGGAGGGGCCTCCAGGGACAGCCGGCCACCGAGGGACAGCGATGCTGCTGCCCTCCACAAGCCTGGCACGGGGGGCCCTGTACCCCGAGGACACAGTGTTCCAGCACTCCTCTATGCTCTGCAGATGGAGGGGACAGAGCTCGAGGAGCAGGCAGCCCCCCAATCCCACTGCTAGTGAGAGCAAGGCCACATGTTTACAGGGACACAGTTCGTAATGGCTTCTTGGGAACAGCCAAGGGCCCACTGCTGAAGAATGGGTGAAGATGTAGGCTTTTACATAGAAGAGTACTACTCTGCCGTGAAGAAGGATAAGTGGGAGACATTTCTAGGTAAACGGACGCACCGTGAGGCCACACTCTTCGGTGAAATAAAATGGACACACATTTAAACACTATTGTTTTTCTGGCGTGAGAAATTGGAAATATCGATAAGGACCAAAATGTGTAACAGATATTGTGAAATAGGAAGAAAATGTTCAAATGGGAAGAGGCACAAGCGGGGAGGAAAGAAGAGAGAAAGAAGAAAAGCGAATGGAAGGAAAGAATGGAAACAAAGCTGTTGTAAACGGGGGAGGCAGGGTTGCAGGGAGGGGAGGGAAACGGAAGGACGGAAGCAGCAGTCGGGTGCAGGTACAAGCTACCCCTCCTGGGCCTCCCTCTCATCTGCGGTCCCAGCACTCTAGCGAGGCTGAGGCAGGAGGGCTGAAAGTTCAAGCCCAGGCCCGGCAGCTTAACAAGACTCTGTTTCACAATTAAAAAACTTAAAAAGAAGAAAAGTAAAAAAGAAAAGGAACCGAGGATGCAGCGGTGCAAACTCCCGCCCCCAAAGCTAAGCCTGGTCCATTAGGGTCACCGCAGCCCCCAAGCGGGGGTGGGCCGGGGGCATCTGAACACTGCTGGGCGATTCTCGCCGCCAATGCTACGTACTCGGGGAGGTGCGCGTGGCACACAGGCCCAGGGGAAGGGCTGGGCAGGGCCCCCAATCCGTGTCTGGGGTATAGGTGGCCAGCGCACTCGGGAGGAGGCAGGGGGCAGCCAGGGCAGGTGGGATCACAGGAGGGTTTGGGGGCCCCAAAATGAATACCCCAGAATGAAACCAAAACAGCCAGGCTGGGGTGCACGCCTGTGATCCCAGCAAATGGGAGGCTGAGGCAGGAAAGTTGCCATGCATTCCAGACCAGACTGGACCACACAGTGAGTTCTAGGGCAGCCTGAATTACACAGTGAGACCTTGTCTCAAAAACACACACACCAAGGGACGGGGACATAGCTCAGTAGAATAAGCACTTTCCTGGCAAGCACTGGGTCCTGAGTTCAATCCCCGGTAGCACCAAAAAAACACAACAAAAACAAAACCAAACAAACAAACAAAAAAACCACACATACCAAAATAAAGGGGCGGGGAGGACACACACCTAGGCCGGGGTGTGGAGGAGGCTACCGCACTCGCCCAGCACCCCACTAGGACCACAGCGCCTGTGTGCTCACACAGAGCACGTGCAGAGCCACCCCCACGGCCCACGCCCCAAGAGCAAGGGGACCCCACTGAGGCACCAGGGAAGAGACGTTCTGGTTGCTTGCGAAGAAAAAATAAATAACCTCTGTGGGAGCTGGAGAAAAGGAGTGGGCATTCCTTGGGCGAGGCCGCTGGGTAAGGCGTTTCCGCGTGAAAGGCAACACATTATGGCTAATGGCGTGTGTTCGAATAATGGACACTAAGAGGACCATTGTCCACTCCTGCTCTCAGGCGAGAAGCCCGAGGGCTGTGGAGGCGGAGACACGCAGGGCTCCGAACTGCTGCGGGCCGGGCACGCTGAGTAAGGTGTCCCACTGAACTGAACTCACTAGGGGCCGGGCTGGCATGGAACTTGCAGGACCCCTCCTGCCTCAGCCTCCCTAGAAGGTGCTAGATGCTTACTTAAATAACAACAGTGACAACACCTCCATCATCACAATGCATTTCTTATGCCTGCTCTGGATGAAAACTCAATACTTTTTTAAAAAACTCGATGTCTTTTTTTTTTTTTTTTTGATGTCTTTTTTAAAGACGGAATCTCATTATGTAGTTCGGGGTGGCCTTGAATTGGCTTATGTAGCCCAAGCTGGCCTCAAACTCATGGCAAGCCTCTTGCCTCAGCCTCCCTAGTGCTGGGATGACAGGTGTGCGCCTGGCACACGTGGCAAAAACTCCTCCATGCTTCTCATGCCCATCAGCCTGGTACAGTGGTGTATGCCTGTCGACCCAGCAATCAGGAAGGAGGCTGAGGCAGGAGGATTGCCATGAATTCAAGGGCATCCTGGATTATACAGCAAGACCCTGTCTCAAAAATCAACCAAAAGAGGCCTGGGGAGATAGCTCATGATAACTTTTTTGGAGTGGCAGTAAAGAGGAAAGATAAAAGAAGCCTTCACTAACTCCAGAGACGCGGAGAGGATCGAAGGCAGGTGGGGCAGGTGGCCTGAGACAAAGAAAGCTGGGGCTTTTATGAACTTTTGTTAGGGGTGGGGTTTGAGAGAGATTTTAGAAATACCTGAGGAGCTGCCTGGGCCCTTCACTGAGGTGGCGGGAAAGGTGACAGGAAATTGTACCCTGGGCTGAGTTGGGGAAGGGAGGAGGTGGTCTCTGGGAAGATAAGCTGTTGTTTTAAGGGCTTCAGCCATATTAGATGACCACCATAATGATTCAGAAATGTATACTAGGGCCAGAACCTGTCAGCTCGGGGGTCTCAGCACCTGCCTGGCAAGCGCAAAGTTCTAAATTCAATCCCTAGTGCTGCATGCCATGCTGGCCCCAAAGCAGGGCATCACCGGTGGTGCACACCTGTAATCCCAGTGCTGGGGAGGCTGAGACAGGAGGATCACTACAAGGCTGAGCTGCATAGAGAGGCCTGGTATCAAAAACAAAAACAAGGGCTGGGGATGTAGCTCAGTGGCACCTGCCTAGCAGGCACAAGGCCCAGGGCTTGCTTCCTACTACCAAAAAAAAAAAAAAAAAAAAAAAGCCCCTTTGAAAAATAAAATGGACCTTGGGCCTGAGCTGTGGCACGGAGCACGGTTGAAGCCTTGGGCTCCACCCCAGCAGGGCAGCAAAAGCAACACAAAACCGAGCCCAAGAAACACTGTCCTGCTCTTTATTTGGAGTGCATTTTCTGTGCTACAACAGTTGCTCTATGGCAAGCCCACCCTTCGGGTCAGGAGCGAGGCCATGGAGCCCCCCGGACAGGGAGAAGGGCAGGACAGCGGGCAGCAGGGCCAGGACAGCAGGCAGGACAGCGGGCAGGGCGCGCGGCCCCGCCAGCCCTTCGGTCAGGGTACCTGAGCTGCTTGGCGTAGCTGAGCTCAATCTCCGCCCGCTCTTTCACGAACTTGACGTACTTCTCCACGACGTCGATGCCGCACTGCGTGTGCTTCTCCAGGGCGTCCAACTGGTCCTGTCGAGAGAGCACAACAGTCCAGCTCCCTCACTGCTGGCCACCTCCCGGAGCCCTCCCGGCATGGCGGCCGGCTCAAAATGTCCCAGGTCCCCAGCTCTGAGGCTGCGCCATGTCAACAGGGCCAGACTGGGCTTGAGAGCGGCCGGCCCGGGGGAGCTGAGCCCCCCACTGCCGCTCACTTGGATCTCCCATTGCGGTGGGACAAGACTGGGAAGGAACCACACCGGCAAGCAAGGAAAGGGTCTTCCCGATGCCAAGAGCTGGGATGACCCTGGCGTTGCAGGAGAGCGCGTCGCAGCGGCTGCCTTGGCCATGGAGGGCTGAGGGAGGGGTACAGGGAACGAAAGGACCCTCGGCTTCAGTCAAACACACACCAAGTCCTGCTGTGTGCTCAGACCTGTGCTCCACACTAGGGGACCATGGTTGGTAGCCCCAGATATTCTGGGGGCCAGGGGTGTCCAGGACTCCGGCAGGGTGGCTCCCGTGGCGCTCACAAGGAGGGTTGGGCATAAGGTATGGTGTGGCAGGCACGAGATCAGAGACAGCTCAGGGCCGTGTCACCATGCAAGGCCTTGAATGACGAGCTCAGAGCATCCAGTGGCCCAGGACCCGCAGGAGACTGTTTCCAGTCTTCAGGGGATGCAAGTCAGCAGGCTGTCCTCATGATCCAGGGGACAGAGAAGGGAGCAAGGGGACCCCAGGGGACTCGTGGGCTCTGCTCCCTGCGGCTGTGCAGGCTTCACTTGGAGCTGAGACAGCAGTGGTCACAGGCCTGCCCTGAGCCCAAGGAGGGGCCGGGCTCGGAAGATCTGAGGCCACGGCCGAGGCTGGGGCTCACGAGCAGCTGTGTGCAGTAAGGAGCCAGCCAGGAGGTGGGGACGAGGATGGGCCTGGAGGCCCCAGAGCTGTGAGAGGAGGCAGCGTGGAGGAGCAGGGTGCAGTCTCGGGGCTGCAGGACGGAGAACCGGGGTGTGGCCCTTGTAACACTTGCTGGTCACCCCCTTGCTCAGGAGGCTGAGCCGGGAGGGTCCCGCAGCAGGCTGACCTGTTCTACACGTGCGACACAACTTTTCACTGGGGCCTCCAGCCGCACCGCAGCTTGCTTTCCCTTCCTGCATCACCTCTGCATCCCTTATCCTGGGCAGAGGGTTTCCATGCAAAGTCATGCCCTGTGAGGGGCGTGGAGGGTGCACCCCCGTCATCCCAGCACTGGAGAGGCTGAGGCAGGAAGATGGCTGTGAGCTTGAGCCCAGCCTGGGTTACAAAGCAAGACCCTGTCTCAAAAAAGTCACTGTCAAAAAAAAAAAAAAAAAGTGACTGTAAAACACCCAGTAGCTTTAAAAACAGGTATTTAAAGTTCTCAGTGATTCTTGGCTCTCCACGCCAGCGTGTGCCACAGAGCGCTGGGCTCCCTCTCGGGAAGCTTATTTATTTCTGTTATCTCTGCCGACAAGGGCTGTTGAGCAAATACACAGTGCAACAGGGCGACAGGTCTCTGCAGAGCCCCAGAGAACCGATGGCGCTACGCATCAGCCCTAGCAACTTAGCGAGCGGGACTCTGTCTAAAAAAGAAAAAAATGAAGAACAAAAAGAAAATGCTAAGAACCCCTGATCCCACTAGAATCCTCTTTGGGTGAGGCCACACAGACCCCCGCCTTTTCTTTTTCTTTTTTGAGACAGGGTCTTGCTGTCCTCCAGGCTGGCCTTGAACGCACAGCAATCCTCCTGCCACAGCCTCCTAAGTGCTGGGATGCCAGCCGTGTGCCAGGATGCCTGCCCCTGTCCCTAGACTTCTTGTCCTCTTCACCATCTGACTATGTATTTTCCACAACTACATTATCTTCCAATTCTTTTTCCCTTTTTAATCTCACACGCACATAATAAAAGCAACAGCTTCTTTTTTTTTGGGGGGGGGGGCTGGCTCAGCCCACGTTGGGGACGGGGCTGGTACCACATGTGGTGCCAGGGATAGAACCGCGGTCCCTACACACTTGCCTTAGCAGACGCTTTAGACTGCTGAGCTATCTCGTTGGCCTCTTTTTTTTGAAAAGCAACAGCTTCTGATGACCAAATCCTTGCTGATGTAGGAGGACTGCAAATTCAACAGCAGGCCAGGGCTGCACAGTAAGACAACCTCTCAGGCTGGCCAGATAGCTCAGCAGATTAAAAGCGCCTGCTTAGGCAGACACAGGGACTGGGGTTTGGTCTCCAGCGAGCTGTGCCGGGCCCACCCCCGAGGCACACTGAGACAGTGATTAAGATGGGTATGGGGGCACGCGCCTGTAATCGCAGCGCTTGGGAGGCTGAAAACAGGAGGGTCACTAGGAGTCTGATCTGTGTAGTGAGACCCTGTAGACCCTGAGCTAAACACATACATTAAAAAAAACACCTCTCAACAACAACAACAACAAAAAAAAAGCACAGCAGTTGCCGGCCTCCTGCAGGCACTGTGATGCACACCTGTGGTCACAAGTGTTCAGGAGGCTGAAGCGAGAGCATTCTTTGAGCCTAGAGAGTTCTAGACCAGCCTGGGCAACAAGGCAAAACCTTGTTCCAAAAACTCCCACAAAAATCCTATCCTGGTCCCTGCACACATGCTGTTTTTCAATAAGCTATCTGTACCAGTTCAATAAACTATCAAGACTGTCCTGCCCTGGGGACCCAAAACCCAGCACTCGGGAGGCTGAGGCAGGAGGATTGCTGCGACTCTGAGGCCAGCCTGGACCCACCGTGAGAGATCCTGTCTCAAAAACATATAAATAAATATCTATTAATTCCTTTAAATAGATAATAAGTATGCCCCATGCTAATAAAAATGTTTATTTATATTTATTTTTTGCAGTACCGGAGATCGAACTTAGGACCTTGTGCTTATTCCACTCTCCCCAGCTCTATCTATTTATCTACTCTTGTGCATAGTTGGCTCAGCCCACCCAACAATCCCTCTGCAGCCCAGGCTGGCCTTGAACTCACCTTATAGCCCAGGCTGGCCTCATTCTTGCAGCTACCCTCTTGCCTCAGCCTCCTGAGTGCTGGGACAACAGGCATGCATCACTATTTTTAAATGCTCAGCTATTTTTAAAACTGATTTTTGCAAAAAGAGAAAAACCACTGGGAGGAGGGTGTCTGTTTTACGTTTTTGCAAATCTGTCTCCCGTCTGGCTTAACTGAACGCAGCTGGCTTCCCGCCGAGCGAGGCTCCTGCTCTCAGCCTGCTGCTGCTCCGGACTTTGCTTGCAGTAAATGAGAAGCTGCAGTTCCCACAGACGGGTGGTACGAAGCAGCAGTTTCAAAACTCTTTTTAGCTCACTGCAGTTGTTATCTGATACCACACTAGGAGCTGGCAAATCGTCTCTCAAAGGCCAGCGGCAACGTGGCCTCTGGAACTATCAGATTCAATCAATAAAATAATCAATCTTGTACTCTGGAGTTGCTGTGAGACAGGTCTCGTTCTGGAGCCCAGGCTGGCCTCGAAATCACAGCGACCCTCCTGCCTCAGCCCGCCAGTGCTGGGAGGACAGGCACGCCTGGCTAGAGGCTCTCTACCTGCGCCAAATCAGGCAACATTCTTCACTGGGCATTTACAGCACATGACCTTGCTGCAATGTGCCGGCACTCTCACGAGCACTACAGGTTGTGAAAACAGCAAAGGCGTGCATCTGCTGAGGCCCGGCCCACCCTCTCTCTCCTGAGTTTTTAAATATTTGGAAGCTGTCGTGCTCACCGGAAAATACAACCTTCTCTAAATTCTCATTTCACTTAAAAGCTACAAGGCTATCACTGAGAACAAATATTGTCAGCTGTTTCCTGGAAACGACACCGTCTCCCTCTGTCTCTCCTTCTAAGAAAATAGCTGCAAGTGCTTCAGTCCTGAATCATTCTCTCAGGCGAAGGCGGTGCTCAGGAAAAGCGACCTGTTCCCTCCCCACTCCGCTGCGTAAGCGCTGTGGTGTGTGGGGAAACGCTTCAGGAGTCCGTCCCCTCGCAGCCCTCATGCTATTAAGATTGTACTGCTGGGTGTGGTGTTCATAGTCTGTGAGCCCCACACTCTGGGAGGCCGAGGCAGGAGGATCCCAATTTTGAGGCCAGCCTGGATAACTTAGGGACTTACTAGCAAGACCTCATCTGGGGTGGGGGGAGCTCAGGATGCACCTCGGGGCAAAGTACCTGGTCCAATCCCCAGTTGGCAAAAAAAAAAAAAAAAAAAAAAAAAAAAAAAAAAAGAAAGAAAGTGTTATCTAAGATTTGAGGTATGATAACAATTGGCACTGTCCCATCAAAGACTTTTTTCTGGTTGCTTTTGTTTTTGGTTTTTTTGCAGAACCAGGGACTGAACTCATACCCTTGTGCTTGCCAAGGAAGCACTTATTCTACTGAGCCATCTCCCCGGCTCCTTTTTTTTTAAAACAGGATATTGCTATACAATTCAGGCTGCCCTTGAGCCCCTGGCAGCCTTCCCGCCTCAGCCTCCTGAGGCTGGGACTGCAGTCATGCGCCACCATGCCTGGCTACTCTAAACTGCATTTGGAAAAATGAAGCAAGCCAGGTGATGGAAACCACTGCGTAACTTGTGAGCGCACGCTATACACACCCAGCTGCCGCGGCTTGTTCTAAAGCCCTGAGCGCTCCGACAGCGCTTCCCAGCAGCTGGCCCCGCTGCAGCCCCTCCCAGCTCATACTCGACCTTCGCCTTTACTTATTTATCTTCCGTATCTGGTGCAGGGTCTCACGCACAGCTCGGACTCCTAGCGACCCCCCACTTTTCAGCCTCCCCAGCGCAGGGATTTCCTGTGGGGCCCGGCTTGGATCCCGGCCCCTGCGCTTGCCTGAGCAGGCGCTTGGTCCCCTGCCGAGCTAGCTCTATCTCACTGGCCCAACTCTCACCTTTAGAGACAGCCAGATCCAGCCTGGCCCTGAACTCGCTACGCAGACCAGGCTGGCTCGGGCCTGCCCGCAGTCTCCTGCCCCAGCCGCCCTAGTGCTGGGCTCACAGGCGG